ACTCTAATGGGTGGAGCTTCCCCATGAATGGTCTTGTTTGTTCTTCATTATGGCCTCTTCCACTTCTGTAAATAGTAGCGGTAGGACGTGCGCCATCTTGTCCATCTATTGCTTATGGCGTCGGTGTATTTTGATTATTAATCTTTGCTGTTGGGTCTTCATTCGAGGGTCTTTTTTACCTGATCCAGATGTCTTCTTAATTTAGTGTCGCCTGCATTTATTCCATAAGTCAAGTTACCGGGCACTTATCAACTATCCACCACTACGGCCTTCAGCGTTTGTGTTTCCTTCAAACATCACGCTAACATTGGCTAAACCTATGATCTTGATAGCCCTGCCGTCGTACCCTGTCATCAGTCTTGCGTGTCGTGGCTATCCCTACAGCTTTAGCTGTGTGCCTCTGTAATATAATGTACCTGGTGCCGGTGTCCACTTGCATCAACATTGATATTCAGCGGTGTTAGGACGTGTATGATTCTACGCCTTCAATAATATATTTAAAAAATTCATTGTGGGTAATGTAAACGATGATCTCGATAAGGTGACTTCAACAATGAAAAAAGACCTTGAGTCAACACGTCTCAACAAACCCAAAATTATCAGGCAAGTGAAAGTTCATTTGAAACATGATGTTGTGCCTAAAATCATACCCCTTATGTTAGAGCCCTATGCCCGGAATGACGCAATGACTCGTGAGTTGGACGTCTGGCTAAAGGATAATTTTATAGAGCCTGTATCTCAAGTCAGATGGGTAAGTCCACTGACAGCTGTTTTCAAGAGAGACGGCACCATTAGGTTGTGCGCTACCTTTAAAGACACCAAAAACCCTGCTCTGGAGGATTTTAAATACCTGATACCGCGCATAGACGATCTGATAGCGAAATTAGCCAAGGACAGGAAACTCACTAAAATAGACTTTAACATGTTTTTTGCAGATTCCTATAAAAAAGACAGGGATTTACTCATGATCTCTACCCACAAGGGCCACTTTCGCTTCACCAAGCTACCGTTCGTAGAAAACAGCCTCAGCCATCTTTCAACAAATTATGGACCAGATTTTTGGCGATCTTAAACATGTTATTTTCTATATTGACGAATTGCTAGTCACCTGTAGTAGTGACGAAAAACATATTAAAAACATCAAAAAAGTATTTGAAAGAATTCGAAAACGGATTAACACCTAACCTTTTCAAAAGCAAATTTATGAAGGACAGGATTCGATTCTTAGGCCACGACATCGACAAAGAAGGCATACATCCGAATGATGACAAAATCTAAGCTATTACCAGCATGCCCGAACCAAAATCTAAAGAAGCTTGCCAAGTTCTTGGGAATGGCAAGCTACTACCGCAAATTTCTGAACAACTTAGCCAACCTAGCTGATCCATTGTACAAAATAGTGAACAAAGAAAAATGGTCTTGGGACGAAAATCACAAAATTCGACGAATTAAAATTGCTCATTAGTCAACCACCAACATTAAACTCCTTCAACCCCAACCTACCTATTGGCATTTCGGCAGACGCACCCAAATAAGGAATGGGAGCAGTGCTATATCACATAGAAGAAGACGGTAAGGAAGGGCCTATAGCTTTTGCCTCGTGGTCATTGTTGAAGGTTGAGGTCAACTAACAAGAACGAGAGGTATTGGCTATAATCTTCGCCGTCATGAGATTACAAGAATATCTCATTGGGACGAGGTTTACTATAAGTGGATCACGATTATAAGATAGTCCACAGATTGGACAAGCTCAACATGGCACCCATTGTTTATCCAGATTTCATTTAACTGCAGACAATGAAGAGGTGCACATGATGGAAGATGACGAATCATGCGAGGAGCTATGGGACATACCGATAAAGCTGTTCTTGGGACTCAAAATAATAAAGAGATCACGTACGTCATTAGTGATATAAGAAAAGGTGAAGTCATACATAATAAAACTTACAGTTTCATGGAAAACAGATTGAGCATAGCGAACAAAACTATTGGCCAGCTACATCTGGTGGCCCGGCATCAACATAGACAACGACAAAAGAATTGTGATTCATGCAATGTTTGGGCAGACAATCCAAAAAACATACAACACGTTTGGATTGCCATTAATAAACCCTTTGAAAGAGTGCATATCTATTAAGCAGGGCTGTTTCTTCAAAAATATTGGTTGGTGATAGTGGACGCTTACAGCAAGTTTCCCATAATCAAATCGATGAACTCCATCTCGGCTGGACAGACTGTCATCGAATTGATGCAAACTATAAGCTTGTTTGGGTTACCTGAACAAATTGTGACGAGTAATGGCACACACTTCACCAGTAAATTGTTCCAAAAGTTTTGCAAAATCACGGGAAACACAAACTGATGTCGGCATACCACCAGCAATTTAGGGTTGGCGGAGAGGATGATAAGGACGTTTAAGACGCACGTGAAAAGAAGCTTGGAGAATAATAAAGTCGCCGAAAACATTGCCCTGAAAAGGTTTTTATTTTATTATCGAAACACATCCAATGCTACAACGGGCATTCCGCCTAGAAAAATGTTGTTTCCATACACGACAAGAACCATTTTCTACTTAAACCTACAAACATAAGCGACAATCCATTGAAGAAATTATATCATCTACTAGAACGAATAGTCGGTGATAAAGTATGGTTTAAAACGTTCAAAGAAAATAAATGGGGCAAAGGCGTGATCACAGACAAAGAAGTTATTTGACTTAGAATAAACGCAGGCGACACTAAATTAAGAAGACACCTGAATCGGATAAAAAAAGGATCCTCGAATGAAGTCCTGAAAGCAAAGATTAATAATCAAAATCAGATACCTGCAGAGGTACTATTTGCTAGGCCCCAGATTTTTTTTTTTAAAAAAAATTTTCGGCCCGGCTCTGCCCGGCATGGTTTTTTTTAAAAATATACTATTATTTGATTTATATAGCTAATAATGGCGATTTCAAATATATGGTTTTAAAATATACGGTCCGGATATTTTTTTAAAAAAATTTTCAGACCCGGCCTGAACATTTTAAAAAAAAATTTGAGTATATTTAAAAAAATTAAAATATGGCCCGGCTCGTGTAGATTGATCAAAATGAACTGACACCATCAGCAATAGATGGGCAAGGCGGACGTCCTACCGTTACTATTTACAGGAGGGGAAGAGGAAATAATATAGAACAAACAAGACCAGTTCAAGGGGACGCTCGACCCATTAGAGTCAAACATTTACCCAAGCATTTAGAAGACTATATCATGAACATCAATGGCGTATAGCCCGGCAACAAAACCAATGGGCAGAGTACCAGATACGCTAACCCAGGGTAATGGTCGGAGCTACAATTGGCAAAAACAGAAATTTTATCAAAGGATCAGTCTACATAGGGGCGGGTATTGATTTTTAATGCAGGGTAGAATTTTAATGAGGATTTGCCTCTAGTAAATTTTCTGTCATTTAGAAGCTCAGTTATCTATTGCATGCAACTTTTTGTAAATAAATTAACGTCGATCGAAAGATGTACCTTATATAGAAAATCTGAGGAGGAAACGTTAAGACTCCTCTGGATAGCTATGAGATAGGAGTTTTCTGTTTTAGACTTACTCAATTAACCTTAACTTGTATTGCAATTTATTGTATAAATTAGAATGTTAGTAAGGATCCTTTCCCTTCCTCAATATTACTAAACTAAAATTCCAATTATTACAAATGATAAATAATAGTAATATTAATATTATATATAGTCAAGGAAACACTCATGATTATTGATTGGAGCCTATGCATTTTCTGAACCCTATCTACCCAGACACCTTTTGGTATAAAATACAGACTAGAAATATAAAATAAAGATTAGATATAAAATAAAGTCCAGAGTAAGCTGCATCGGGTTTTTAGATATTATACCTAGTTTTATTTAAATAAATAAAAAGTCAAAACAATCAGATTTACAATTAAAATATTTTAAAAAACCAAAAATATACATACATGGATTCGATCCCAGATTTTCAGGGTAGGTAATGTAGACTCTCACCATAGTGGCCACCCCACGACAATATTCAGGAAGCAATTATAAATAATCGACTATTTAATTATATGCAATTAAATTTATATATATTAAAAATAGAAATTATATTATATCCTTTACTTTATTGCTTATTAGTCTGCATCGGGCCTAATTTTTCAAGCCCGGCCAGAAATTTTTTCAAAAAAATTTTTACCGGCCCAGCCCGAATTTATTTAAAAATAGAAAATAGTTCTTTTAAAATATTATAATTGCTCAAAATAAAAGATATATGTCATATGGCGTTTAGTTTCTATAAATAAAATCACATATTTTATTTATAGAAAAAAATTCAACATAAAATTGATAAATAGATATATTTAAATAAATTTCCATGGCCCGACACGGCCAGAATTTTTTTAAAGAAAATTAGGCCCGATCCAGCGCGAACGCTATTTTTTTTAAAAATAGGTCCGGCAGATCTCGAATGTTTATATCTCCCCTTATTCGACCTAATAATCTAAAAATATTAAGATGAGCTCTTGAAATGAAACAATATATATCTTGCAAAGTATTATTAAAGTATTATTCTAAAACATAGATTATAATTAAACAGGGTTTATACCATTAATATCTCTATACTATATCGTTAATAATTTTAAATTCATGTCACGAAAATTTTTACTTTAGATTTATTGCTTCAAAAAATTTGGAGCCAATTTATATAAAAATCTCACAACCCATACTGGGATTTTGAAATTTCACAGATCACTTTCACACGTTATACCTACATTGCTTGATATTTTCAATTTCAGCCAATACCCAAAAATGATAATCCCAAATAAATTTAAAAAAGATATTCTTAAGTCATCATAATTTGATCTATAAATTTCTCAACCGATAGAGGAAAAAAATGATAAATTATAACTTTGCTTTTTCCAATAAACTACATATTAATATATATAAATGGTATCAGCGCATCTCTGATTTTTAAAATCAATTAAACTTTGTCCATAAGATGCTTGATGACGAGCCCATTAGAATCTAAGAAAAATGTGCTGAATCCATCTTTCACGCTGGAAAAATAAATAAATTTATGCTTAATATTTTTCCATTCATATTTAATTTATTTATCCTAATCTTTTTTCCCCTTCTTACTTGTATTTTTCTTTTCTTATTTACTTTAACTATGTATTAGCAAATATCAAATCAACTTTGTCATCTAAGCTAAAAAGAAATATATATTAGAGATCGGCCCGAAGTTTTGAAAATGTTTTTAACGCTGATAATTATGTAAATTTATCTCTTTCCCTATATAAAAAATAAATATGGGCCTGGTCAGACAATATTATATAATATATCTACGGCCTATGCATAAATAATTACGGACCAGGTTGGGCCAAAAAATCCGATAGAAAATTTTCAAGGGCCAGCTTTGGTCCTTTAGTATGTATTATTATTCAGGATGTAGAACTCTTAACCAATGACGCTAAGACCCTGCTATTAGGGTACCTACGCATAGGGAGAGCCAAAATTTAAATATTATTTTAATTAAGAAATAAAAATTATTCAATACATCCCCCGAAAATGAATGCAATATTTTAAAAAATATACATAAGTTAATTTTTTTAAATAATGACTAAACCTACGTCGGCTCTACTCACCGGAAATTTTCTCCAGGCAGGAACTGCTGCCGATGGAGATGAGCCGCGCCTCCAGGCTAGCCGATAATTTTTAGGCAACGGCACGGAGTATAAAAATTCTAAAATGCTATTTAGATAAGTCCAAAATCTTTTTTAAAAAATTCGATTTGTTTTAAAACTTTCAGAAGTTTTAAAATTTGAATGAAATCGCATGTTAAATTTTTGTACTTTTCTAGTTTTAGGCATATATTTATTTTAAAAAGCTTATATTATTTTTTATAAAGTTTCATAGTTTGTGAATTGCATTTTATGTGTCATCATCATAGCTCCGAAAATATTAATGGCAAAAGGTCTTGCAAAATACCAATCGATACCTTTAAACCCTTACCTAAATATACACTGTTATATTTTTTAAATATTTAGTATTTATTTCTCAATATAAGTTGTAGTAGAAGTGTTTTAGTGAACCTAGTAGCCCTGGCCCCGTGGTTAGTCGGATAATCGATGGGGCTAGTCGAATCAAGTGGAATTTTCTTCAGATTTTCATATATAACTATAATGCTTTGTTTTTATAATATTCAATTTATAATTATAACTAAAATAAATAGCAATCATTTATGACATAGGATTCACGCACCCAACTTTACATACTCTGCACTGAAACTAAACTTCAAAATTATGAATTTTTGTCCTGTTTAGGAGAGACCAGGGCTAGTCGGCGCAAAAGACTGTCGGTTCAGCGAATTTTATTTTAAAACCAGTAACGATTAGAAAATAAAATTTTGTTCTAAAAGTAGATCTGTGCACCGAAGCCTCAATTGACGGCAGTTTTTTAAAATTTTTTAGCGGCTTTCGGCGGCGGGTCGATTTGGTTGCTTATGATTAATTAGCTGTGGCCGCTGCGTGCTATTTATTTTAAAATTTTTTAAATTAAATTCATTACATTTTTTATAATTTATTTGGGTACTCTTAGTTCTACTCAGATCAGAGTCACATAAACAACACATAAGAGCCAAATAAATAACACATATTAGTAATATTCTATTGATATTTATTAAAACAAATTAAAATATAAATTTGGAATGCAAGCAAAATATAGAGTAAGAAATATAGTAAATTAGAAATCAGATTTAGTAAATTTATAATTGTCATGAATAAATAGTATTTTATCAAGATACTAGGGAAAAAAGATGCCTTTTTTGCATTGAGTATTAATCCAAAGATGGGAAAAATTATTTCGCTGGATGTATTAGTTCCAGGTATACAAAAACCTTCCTAGCTAAATTAACAAGCCTAGGAAGTTCCAGTCACTTTTTCCCAAAGAGTTAGTGCATCCTCTTCTGCTATAATATGTTGGCTGAGCAAAATATGACATTCTTGCTCTATATTGCTATGTTGTTATAATCGTTACTTAGAAGGGAATGTTTACGAGCTATTTTAGCTATATATGAACTGGTTGTTTGCCCATTATCTTCAACTTGAATCTCACTCTGTGCATTTCTATCATGCTCTAAAAGTTTTAAAAGTCTAATTAATTAATTGCAATGATGTAGAATTCGAATTTAAATATTCTGAAACAATTTTAAGATTTTGAAATCTCGGATCAGATCGCTAATAGCTAATGTTTAAAATATAATTTTATTAATAAAAATATAATATAAATATAATTACTTGAAATTCGGTAATTGGAAATGGTCAAGCTTTTTTTTGCATATTTTATGATATCTGAGCAATCAAATTTATTGATTTGTAAGTATTTCTATTTCATTGCGAAATAAATATCTTAAATTGATTGTTGATCCTTTCTGGGAGGAAAGAAAGTCCACCGATTCTTTAAATGGATTTAATAATGTGTAAAATTCATATCCATTAGTTATAAGGATTGTTTTCCTATTTTATTTAGAACATTATTTATAGAAATTTTGTTAACAATACGGATACATTCAACATAATTAATATGCTGTGCCAGCGGGTAGGGCAATTTAATTTGAAAGCTTTTCGTATTAATTAGATCTGTTGATGCTGCAATCTATATTATCAACCTCACCAGAGGTATCAAAATGTTCATTAAGGTATGGATCAGAATCATCAAAATCCAAAATATGGTTTGTCTCATAAATTGATCGAAAACATTTACAATGCTCATCCTCAATTTCACCAAATCAGCTACTTGATATCTGAGGGCTGAAATGATTTTTCAAAATATTAATTCTGTCAACTTTTTTTATGTCATCAACTGTGACTTGAAGTCCATGCCCTAAGTATAAATAATGCTAATAATCCCCCAATCGTATAATTCTTCTGACATTCGCCCCAGCATGAGTTATCATCTCTATTATTTTGTTTTTTTTATATGGAATTCCTTTTCTATACTATCGATCTCAGATGATATGATTTCATCTGTATGCTTTTGCGTCACCTTTCTAGTTGCCAGGGTAAAATATTTTAAAACAAAATTTTCATTTATGACGAAGACTAAACGTGATATAATTTGGACTTGAAGTGATCTGTCCATAAATAAAGTGATAGAAGAGAATTTTGATCCAGAATCAATCAGATTTAAAAATGCGCCTTAGATGAATAAACATCATCTAGTGTACCCCGACTAATGGTTGTCTTATCAGGCAATTCTGACGAGTAATCAAATATAATATTTTTATTCTTTTAGACAATTTATTTTTTAATAATCATTTTATTTAAATTTCAGACCTTTAGAAAATCAGTTATTCCTTTATTGTTTATAGAATCAAATGGCATAAATCTAAGCAGTATATCAAAACATAATTTCACCCTATAAGATTTTATACATTAAAAAGATATTAAAATATTAACATAATTAGAGATGAAATGAAACAAATATGAACATAAATCAGTTATATATTAAGTTTATACATTAAAAAGTACTCAAAAAACATCAATTAAAGGTGAAAATAACCAAACTAGGGTGAAACGTTTAACTCCATAAAAAAAATTAATATGTATTAATGTTTGTGTAATTTTGAAATATGATGTATGAATATGAATAAATGTATATGATATACATTATTTTATTATATGCCAATAGCATACAAATCATATTTAAATAATAATTTAATATATAATATAATGAATTTCTAAAAATTATGCACGCAACGCCGCCGCCATGAAAAAAATCGGTGGCGTTTCCGGAGTGAATAAAATTGCAAAGAAATAGTTTTATGATATATTTGGAGATGAAAATAATATATATTATTTAGCTATTTAAATTTTTATCTGTTATGGCATGTTATAGACGTGAAAATTACAATTATTTCACTTAACATTATTAGGTTATATTAAAAAAATTAAAAGTTTAAACATGACAAAATGGACAATAGTTAAAACTCTATTTTTTTTAATAATTGGGAAAGTTCCAGATTGATAGGTAATGCTTAAATATTAACTCCGATAGGAAACTTTTCACCATAGGGAATATGAAGAAGCAACAAAATTGTATGAAAATGATATGTCATGAAGAAGAGTAACATCTATTACAGTTTAAAATATATTTTATAAATTTAATATATATTATCGAAATATATTATAAATATCTTGCAAATTAAATCTTCATATATATATTTTTGACATGACATAATATTTGATCAAATTCAAATCATAATTAATCAATTAGATACAGGAGCGTAACCAATGGGAAGATCCCCCGACCCCATCGCAAATTTGACTGTTTTCATAAATATCATTTTAAGCTAATAAAAATTTTAACCCCCCCCCCCCCTTCAGTCAAATTTTTGCAAATATATCAATTTTAAAAAACTATACATCATAGGTGATATACAAATATTAAAAGAATTTTTACAGTTTATACCAGTTGTGGATATGATGGGGAAACCCTCGCCCAAACTATTTTGTTAAATTTATAGAAATATAAGCTAAATATAAATTTAATGCGAGGACAAGGTTATAATGGTCAAAGTACATATTTTAAAAAAATATCCATCCGCTATATATGTTCACTGTGCATCTCATTCGTTGAATTAGCAATATCCAGTTCATGTGCTCTATCTTCTATAAGCAATGTCATGGGTATTTTATAAAATAAAATATATAAAATATTTTTTTAGCCATTTAGCCATTATATCCAAAATTTATATTTTTTTAAATATCCGAAGCGGTCAGATGTTTTGATTCATGAACCAGAAATTCATCATCAAAAATTAAAAATATGTGACACAATGGGTTATACGTCATGATTCAGTTTCGGCATTTACAGAACTGGTGATCAGAATATCTTTACATGAAATTACTAAATGGCAAGATAGTAATGTGTCTTAAGAAGTACCATTATTAAATTCAATCAGAGTTTAGCTGCTAGTTGCAATAATAAATTATTTTCCTATAGCTCATTACTTTGTAGAGATTTACAAAAACCAAATTTAGATTTGGTTCAGGTTATT